CCCCCCCCCCATCCCAACCCCCCAATCCTGCTTTCTCTAGGAAGCTGATGCTGGAGAAAGAGCTGGCCAGCATGCTGTGGCGGATCCGCTGGGAGGAGCTGCAGTTTGGGAGCTCCGAGCGCTATTACAAAGGGGCCGGCAGCCGCCTCACCCTCTCGCTGGTGGGTGTCCTTGGCTTCCCCAGGGGACCCCTTCCCCGTGGGGCTCAGGGCCCCCAGCCCTGGCCATCCCATCCATTAGCCATCCACCACCGCCACCAACCCCACCCCGCTGGGCCTTCCCCCCCCACGCCGCCCCCCAGCGCTCCACTCCGGCTGCCCGGCTGACCCTTCTTCCTTTTTGGCTTTTCTTCCCCAACCCAGAGAGGGTCCAGCTACGGCTCCCTGATGACAGCACACGGCAAGTACCAGATTTTTGCCAACACGGGACTTTTCAAGGTGGGCCTCTTGGAGCCCTGACTCTTCCCCTCCCCCTGGCATGCAGGCCTCCCCCTGCTTCCTTCTGGGACCCACACGGCCTGTGACACACATACACACACGCACGCACCCCTGTCTCTTGCAGGGAAACGTCGTGGCCATCAAACACGTGAATAAGAAGCGGATTGAGTTGACGAGGCAGGTGCTCTTCGAACTCAAACATGTATGTACTGACGGGGGGGGGTGTTGGTGGGAGGGGGCCGTAACTGGTGGGAGCTGCATGGCATCAGGCTCTCTGCCCCCTAGCACACCCCACACAGGCTCCCCCGCTGCTCCGAGTCACCCTCAGGCTAACAGCGGCTTCCTCCGGTATCTCCCGGCTGCAGATGCGAGACATCCAGTTCAACCACCTGACCCGATTCATTGGAGCCTGCATTGACCCCCCCAACATCTGCATCGTGACCGAGTACTGTCCCCGGGGCAGCCTGCAGGTGAGGCAGGGGCGCCCCCTTTGGGACAAGGGCATCGGCCAGGTGGGGGTGGGGTCCATAAGGGTTGGGGAGGGACGATCCCTCTGCCTCTGGTTGTGGCTGGACATTTCCAAGCAGGATTGCCGCCTGACCCTTCCTCTGTGCCCCTCCCCCATCCCCCCCCCCCCCGGACATTTTGGGGAACGAGAGCATCAGCCTGGACTGGATGTTCCGCTACTCGCTCATCAATGACATTGTGAAGGTGAGGAACCAGGGCAGGAATGGGGGAGGGCTTGGCGCCTGCCCTGGGGCAGAGGTGGGGTGCGGAGGTCGGTCCAGAAGGAGGCCCTTTTGTGGGGCGTTGGCGTCCTCCCGCTGGATTCCTGGCTGCCCTTTACAAGATGGCTTGCAAGGCAGCTCACGGCCTCCCCAGCAGCCGGCCACCTTCCTCCCCTCCTTGGCCAGGATCCCCTGCTGGAAGCTTCTCCAGGCCCCACTCACCACAGGACCACCGACCCCCCCCAACACCTACTGCTGTCCTGTCTGCACCTGGGAGGGTTGTGGTGGTTGTGAGCTTCCTTCTGTATATGCCCATGGACTGCCTGCCTGCCTGTCTGTCTGTCTGTCCGTCCGTCCACTGCAGGGCATGGCCTTCCTGCATAACAGCATCATCGGCTACCATGGCAGCCTCAAGTCGTCCAACTGTGTGGTGGACAGCCGCTTCGTGCTGAAGATCACTGATTATGGCCTGGCCAGTTTCCGCCAGAGCAGTGAGAGTGAGGGCAGCCATGCCCTTTATGCCAGTGAGTGCCCTCCCCTCCTGCCAGGGTGGTGCCCATTGAGCCAGCCAGCTCTTGCCTCGGCCCCTTCTGGCCAGGAAACAGGCAGAGCCCCCGTAGCAGCCTGGAGCTCCCCTCCACCATTTGTGAAGCGGGGGGCCAGCCTGCTGCCATAGGGAGAGG